CAGTCAGTATCCCTGATCACCACCACACCAGTCATATGATGCTGCAGTACTGCACTGGTGACGGTATGTAAAAAAAAAAAAAAACAAATTGTGGAAAAAAAATTTAATTTTTTTTTTACTTTCCAAAAAAATTACAACTTCAAAAAACTTACCATGCCTCTTACTAAATGCCTCAGACTGTGTCCACTTTCCAAAAAGGGTTCAGTTTGGGGATATGTGTGATGTCCTGGCAATTTAGGGCTTCAAGAAATGAGATGGACCATCAGTACATCTGAATTGATCAAGTTTCAAATATATATATATATATATATATATATATATATCTATATACATACAGGTGAAACTCAAAAAATTAGAATATCGTGCAAAAGTTCATTTATTTCAGTAATGCAACTTAAAAGGTGAAAACTAATATATGAGATAGACTCATTACATGCAAAGCAAGATACTTCAAGCCGTGATTTGTCATAATTGTGATGATTATGGCTTACAGCTCATGAAAACCCCAGATCCACAATCTCAGAAAATTAGAATATTACATGCAATCAATAAAACAAGGATTGTACATAGAACAATATCGGACCTCTGAAAAGTATAAGCATGCATATGTACTCAGTACTTGGTTTGGGCCCCTTTTGCAGCAATTACTGCCTCAATGCGGGGGGGTGGCATGGAAGCTATCAGTCTGTGGCACTGCTGATGTGTTATGGAAGACCAGGATGCTTCAATAGCGGCCTTCAGCTCTTCTGCATTGTTCGGTCTCATGTCTCTCATCTTTCTCTTGGCAATGCCCCATAGATTCTCTATGGGGTTCAGGTCAGGCGAGCACAGTAATCCCACGGTCATTGAACCAGGTTTTGGTGCTGTTGGCAGTGTGGGCAGGTGCCAAGTCCTGCTGGAAAATGAAGTCAGCATCCCCATAAAGCTCGTCTGCGGAAGGAAGCATGAAGTGCTCCAAAATCTCCTGGTAGACGGCTGCGTTGACCCTAGACTTAATGAAGCACAGTGGACCAACACCAGCAGATGACATGGCTTCCCAAATCAACACAGACTGTGGAATCTTCACAATGGACTTCAAGCATCTTTCAGTGTGTGCCTCTCCATTCTTCCTCCATACTCTGGGTCCTTGGTTTCCAAATGAGATGCAAAAGTTGCTCTCATCAGAAAAGAGGACTTTGGACCACTGAGCAACAGACCAGGTCTTTTTTTTCTTTAGCTCAGGTAAGACCCTTCTGAGGTTTGTTGTTCAGGAGCGGCTTGACAAGAGGAATACGACATTTGAAGCCCATGTCCAGGATCCATCTGTGTGTGGTGGCTCTTGATGCACTGACTCCAGCCTCAGTTCCTTGTGAAAGTCCCCAACACTTTTGAATGGCCTTTTCCTGACAATCCTCTCCAGGCTGCGGTCATCCCTGCTGCTTGTGCACCTTTTTCTTCCACACTTTTCCCTTCCACATAACTTTCTATTAATGTGCTTTGATACAGCACTTTGGGAACATCCAACTTCTTTTGCAATTACCTTTTGAGGCTTTCCCTCCTTATGGAGGGGGTCAATGATGGTTTTCTGCACAACTGTCAGGTCAGCAGTCTTTCCTATTTAAAGGCTCAGGAACCCTTTGCAGGTGTTATGGCGTAATTAGATGATTAGAGTGGGACACTTTGAGCCTAGAATATTGCACCTTTTCACAATATTCTCATTTTCTGACATTGTGGATTTGGGGTTTTCATGAGCTGTAAGCCATATTCATCACAATTATGACAAACTTGAACTATCTTGCTTTGCATGTAATGAGTCTATCTCATATATTAGTTTCACCTTTTAAGTTACATTACTGAAATAAATGAACTTTTGCACGATATTCTAATTTATTGAGTTTCACACACATATATATATATATATATATATATATATATATATATATATATATATCATAGTTTGTAGACACTATAACTTTCATACAAACCAATTAATATACACTTTATGACATAAAGTGTAAAATATTGTTTTTTTTTTTTTTTTTGGGGGGTTTTTTTCAAATTTTTCGGCCTTTTTTTGTTTATATATCAAAATGAAAAAAATCCAGTGGTGATCAAATACCACCAAAAGACAACTGTATTTGTGTGAAAAAAAATTATATACAGTGTCGAATAGCAAAAAATGGCCTGGTCGTGAAGGGGTAAAACCTTCCAGAGGTCAATACATTTTGATTAAAGAGGACATACAGGTGGTACATGAACAAGGTTTAGGTGGAGGTGTTGCAGTGCACACGCTAAAAAGTAGTCATCTTGTGTTGCAATATTTGTATGCTTGTGCAGTTTCTCAAACCACTGTGCAGTGCAATGCTTCAAAATTGTGTATTCTGCCGTTCAACTATGCTATCCTGTACACAGAAAGATGTGCATACTGTATATCACTGTAAAAATCCAAACAATAGAAAATAGAAATTCCTTTTTTTTCCCCAAAATAAACTTTCAAATTCAGATTTTAGCACTTATCCTTTCAACACTAGGGTCCTCGCTTTAAATCCTTGTCATGTCAATATCTGCATGGAATTTTCTTGCTCTCCCTGTGTTTGCATGGGTTTTCCATGGGTATTCTGGGTTCTTCCCACACCCCAAAGATGCTGATAGGTTAATTGGCTCCTATCTAAATTGGCCCTAGTATGTGCCTATACAGTGGCTAAAATAATTACTTGATCCCCTGCAGATTTTCCAAGTTTGCCCACTTAAAAAGCAGTGAAGGGTGTATATTTTTTTTATCATAGATGTATTTTAAATGACAGAGACAGAATATCAACCAAAAATCCAGAAAAAACACATGATATAAATGTTATAAATTGAGTTGCAGATCAGTGAGTAAAATAAGTTTTTGATCCACTACCAATCAATAATAATTCTGGCTCCCACAGACTGGCTATGTGCTCATGTGGTACACAGATTAGTCCTGTTAATTTAACCACTTCATGTCCGGACACTTTTACCCCCTTTCTGTCCAGTCCAATTTTCAGCTTTCAGCGCTATCACACTTTGAATGACAATTGCGCGCTCATGCAACACTGTACCCATATGAATTTTTTAGCATTTTTTGAGACAGATAAAGCTTTATTTTGCTGGTATTTATTCACCACTGGGATTTTTATTTTTTTTTATATATAAATGAAAAGTCCAAAAAATTTGAAAAAAGTGCTTTTCTTATAAAAATGTGCAAATAAATAATATTTCATCATAAATCTTGGCCAAAATTTATTCAGGTATCTTTTTAGTAAGAAAAAAATAACCCAAATTAGTTTATAACTAAATTATTTTTAAAAAAAAACTTTTTACATACTGTCACCCTAGCAGTGACACTGTATTACTTGGGGGGGGGGAATTTTTTTTTTTTTTTTACACTGATTGCTTTTACACCCATAAAGGCTTTAAAAGCAATAATTTCTCCTTCTCTGTGGCTGCAGCCATTGAGAACTACTGTGTGAGCTGTGATTGGTCACTGCTTGTTACATGGTACAAGGCTGTTGTGAATAGTCTTGTACCATGTGACCTCTGCGATCATTCACAGATTTCACACGTAGTAAGCAATGATGTCAGAAGTGACATCTTGCTTACTACTCTGCATGTGATCACTGATTGGCCAATCAGTGATCACATGATCGGGACCTCGCACAGAGGTCCTGTACAACGATCGGTGTTCCACTGTGTCCTGAGGACACAGCGGGCACCGGATCATGGTGCTGCGCACTCCCAGGGAGCATGCACAAGCAGGGTGTGGGGAGGCCGTTTATAAACTGCCACCCGCCCCCGCACTGCCACCATCGGCCGTTTAGATACAACAGCCGGACAGGAGGTGGTTAAGAAGGTGCTCCTAACAACAACTTGTTATGTGTATAAAAGACACCTGTCCACAGAATCTTTCTTCCATTCAAACCTCCCCATCAAGAGTAAATGGTCAACGAGCTGTCAAAGGACATCAGAGACAAGATTGTAGACCTGCACAAGGCTGGAATGGGCTGCAAAACCATCAGCAAGAAGCTTGGTGAGAAGGAGACAACTGTTGGAGCAATAATCCGCAAATGGAAGAAATACAAAATAACCATCAATCACCCTCAGTCTGGAGCTCCATGCAAGAAACGTCTTATCTCTGTGCTTGCCAACAAACATTTCTCCACCAAGTACTAAGTCATTTTTTCTTAGGGATCAAATACCTATTTTACTTACTGAACTGCAACCCAATTTATAACATTTGTATCAGGTTTTTTTTTTTGTATTTTTGGTTGATACTATGTCACTATCATTTAAAATACACCTATGATAAAAATTATAGACCCTTCATTTCTTTGGAAGTGGGCAAACTTACAAAATCTGCAGGGGATCAAATAATGATTTTCCCCACTGTATGTATGTATGCATGTGAGATAGGGACCTTAAATTGTAATTTCCTTAAGGGCCGGCACTGATGTGCATGATTAATGTGAAAAGTGGTGCATATACAGTAAATGTGTGTAATAAATATTAAAATAAGTTTCTTGGGGCCCATTCACATCACACACACACAATGCTTCACAGCGCCTAGGCATCTGTGCTTGATGGTGCAATGCAGCACAATGTAGAGGTGCATTGGAATACAATCAACAGTGAATGGCTGTGGACTGCAACACACATCTCAGCGCAGCCTTGCAATATGTCCATTGAGAGTACAGAGGCTGCGTTCAAGAGCTGCGGAGACCCTCTTAAAGAGCAGGGGAATAGCAGTGGGAACACACAGGAATCCACACACCCATAAAAGATGGATTGGAATGAGCTGTACAGATTACTCATTCTGACAAAAAAACTGAGAACACAAGGAGGGGTAGAAGGAGACAGCAACAGCAAAAGTAGAGAGTCATAAAATGGTGGAAGGAATGGTATTTCCTTTCAGCTTAGAAATTTTCATATTATTTCCCGACCTTACATATTATCTGTGACTGTGTTGTGGGTTTTATCATTTCAGGAACACATTTGATGAGATGGAACCTGGACTGAGCTCTTTTCGTGTGGAATTTCCAGACTTCTCAAACACTATCCTGCAAAAGTTAAACCAGCAGCGCCAACTGGGTCAGTTATGTGACATCTCCATCGTGGTACAAGGCCACCTCTTCCGGGCACACAAGGCTGTCCTGGCTGCCAGCTCACCATACTTCTGTGATCAGGTTCTGCTCAAAAACAGCCGCAGAGTCGTCCTTCCTGACGTCATGAACCCTAGGGTGTTTGAGAACATTCTCTTGTCCACTTACACTGGAAGATTGGCTCTGCCAGCTCATGAGATTGTAAGTTACCTTACGGCAGCAAGCTTTCTTCAGATGTGGCACGTTGTTGACAAGTGTACAGAACTTCTAGAAAGCAATCCAACTCTCCTGTGTCAAAAATCCACCCTCAGCAATGATCACCAATCTCCTAGCAGCAGCAACTATAATGGCCTAAATGAAAATTTTGACTTGGGGACTAGTAGTCAAGCAGATTACAGAAAGGCTGTAGAGATACGAGATGTTGAAAATGAGGAAGGGAGCCCAAAAGACGATGAGATGTCCTCTCAGCTTACTGAACACGAATATCTGCCCAGCAACTCTTCCACAGAACATGACCAACTAAGTACAGAAATGACAAGCCAAGATGGAGAGGAAGGGGCCAGCGATAGTGCAGATTATCACTACCCCCGTCCATTGTATATAAAGCCCAGTATCATGTCCCACAAAAGATGGATCCACGTCAAACCAGAAAGGTTTGAGCAGGATTGTGAAGGTGTTGAAGCTCACCCTCCTTTTGAGGACCATGTCTCAGATTCCTTAAATCCAGGGCAAGCAGAGCCTCCAATTCAGTCTTCTGGAGTTGTAGACAGTTTTGATTTCTGCAACAAAAAATCCATAGAGCCTGAAGTACACAGCGACAACAGCCATTATGACGATCATGTTGACTTCTATGGTGCTTCAATGGAAGAGTTTTCAGGGGAGCGGGAAGAACATCTCGAAAGCCACGGAGCAGATAATGCCTCTGTTGGGTTTGGGGAAGGTATGGATGTTCCTGCCGGTATTAAAGAAGAAAGCTCATCCTCGGGTTTCACTGCTGTGGTGTATAAACTCTACCCTTGCCAGTGCGGAAAAAGCTTTACTCATAAGAGTCAGAGGGACAGACACATGAGTATGCATCTAGGTTTGCGACCTTATGGGTGTGGGGTTTGCGGAAAAAAAGTTTAAAATGAAGCATCATCTAGTTGGACACATGAAAATCCACACGGGAATAAAGCCTTACGAGTGTAATATTTGTGGCAAACGGTTTATGTGGAGAGACAGTTTCCACCGGCATGTCACTTCATGTTCCAAGTCCTACCATGCCTCAAAAGGCGAGCCGGCCCCAGCTGACAACTAAACAAGTCTGATTTATATCCAATAATACAGGGTGATGCCTGTCAGTATTGCTTGAACTTTGAAACACTATGGAAATATTACTAAGCAATAAGCAGATTCTAGTTTGCAGGCCACGGCATCCATTTTGACTTTGGTTTTTGCTATTGCAAAAGTGGGGAATGACACATACAATATTTAGAGAAAAAAGAACTTCAGGCAGCGGTATAGGAATATTTATGTAAGCGAAAGTGGGTTTTCTACTTTCACCAATCTTTCCAAGTGTTAAAATAGAGGATCGGCTGAAGATGCACTGCCTGGATGTCTCTTACAAGCTAGCTTTGCAGCGGCTGGAAAGCTGTGAGTAGCTTGACGTCTTTTGCACACTGCAGTTATAGCCGCATCCTTTTTCTTTTCTTTTTTTTAAATGGATGTTGCTGTATGACAGTAGAAAAAGCCTATTGTTTGGAGTCAACTCTGGCCATTCGACACATGGCTTCTGCGTTACTAGTGGAAAGGCCCTGTTGTTAAATATAAAAATATTGTAAAAGAAAAGTTTTGGTAAATGTGACTGATGTAGCTGGTAAATGCTAACCTGTTTATGACTTGGGGTACTTTGGGCCTTTGTCTTTCAAATGACTAAATTCCAAAGGATGTAAACAGGATGTAAGCAGTTTTCGTTTAATTGCTCTGCAACTCTTCCATGCTTTGTTTTTGCAACAGCTATTGGTCAGGTGATCACGGTCAGGTGCAGAATCGTGCTGGGTTACCAGCACATTATAAGAGTGTATATTTTTCACATTAACACGCAGACTTCAAGTCCTGCTCCCCAGGAGTTTGCAACCCGCATATGTGTGCTTTATAGCTTGAAAAGAGTCTTAGATCTAAACTTAGTTGCAATTATGCTAAAAAAATAGAGTGTAGATGTAGATCTATACCACCAGGTCAATAAGGATTTAAATCAATCTTTTTCTAATTTAAATTCTAGATTGACCTATGAAAACAGTTTATTTTTGCCTTACAAATCACAAACTCTAATTTTGTGAACGTAACATTTGCTTTTGTAAGATATCTTAGTTAAGCAGTTCAAAGAATTTAAGGAACAGTAAACTGAAAATTTAAGTTGCTAGAACAGCCATTGCATTTGTTTTAAATATTGTTTCTTCTAAAAGGATGCTTTGAAATTAAGAGATGTTTGTTTGTTTGGCCACTAAGAGGCAGTTATTACTTCTTTGTGCAGGAACCTGGGCTGTAGCAATTATTGTGCTGGAATTTTATAAGTAGAAAAAAAAAACAAACAGAATAATATATTTTCCTCTCTAATACAATAGCAAGCACCAAATTGGCCTTATAGCTGGTACGTACAGTCTGGCTGGGTTCAGCAAAGCTTCCTTGTGAATTTCTAAACCGAGTTCAGAAGACATTTGAGTTCTTTTTTTGCTTTCCAAGCTTACTATAGAAAGCAAATCCAAAGGGCCCAATATGTTAGCCTGCTGGGTGTTTAAATGTTAAAGCATCACTTTTTTTTACTAGGTTTTGGGATGGCTTGTTAAAGGATAAGTTCACCTTTGGGAACCTGTTAGATGTTCCACCCATTTCTAGGGTGGAACATGTAACATGTTCCCACTGCTTCAGCTGCTGCCCACTGTTCTTTCTCTCTGTGCCAGCAGTACAAGTTACAAGTTCCCCGTACCCACTGTCACTTTTTGAAAACAGTGTGGCTGTACAGGGCTCCGTCCACACGGCTCATGAAAACCCCAAATCCACAATCTCAGAAAATTAGAATATTGTGAAAAGGTGCAATATTCTAGGCTCAAAGTGTCCCACTCTAATCAGCTAATTAAGCCATAACACCTGCATTTACAGAGTTCTTTGAATGAATGAACTACTTGTCCCGACAGCCTTTGCGGCTGTCTGTTGGTTTTTAGTTCTCAGTGACCTGACGCGGTGCTGTTGAGCGCTGTTCATTGATTCTTCCTGTCAGTGTATCTGCCTACCCGTACGAGCACACAGATACACTGACAGGTTTGCAGGAGTCCTGCATGACACAAGTGAACTGCTGATCGTTGGTGCAATGCTTTCCAAAAATGGGCATTTATAATTTTTTTTCTAAAAAGTGAACTTATCCTTTTAAAATATTAAACCCTCATTTTAGGTTTTGTTTGATCCCACTTGGAATATTCGGCCTCTCCGGGGACCACTGTGAGAGGAAACAAAAAAAAAATTTGATGGGAGAGCTATCACCAGACCGAAGAGTAAATCTGTCAAATAGGGACAAGTGTTCCAGTGACAACGGCCTACGAAGGAAGTTCCCCCTCACTTTGGGGAGATTTCCTCTTACTTCCTTGTTACATCTCCAGGACAGGAACTGAAGGGAATTCTCCCCAGTGGGACACAGACAGCAAAAAATAACTTGATTATGTTAGGAAAAAGATTTTAAATTATTTGCCCTTTACATGCACATTAATTGCTTTTGTGCTATATTCACTAACCAAATTTTACAACCCAACTCCAGCGTGAACCTTTTTTTAAATGTTGGATGGAGTGGTGCAGGGGTACACATGTTGTCAGGTTTTATTGCAGTGGTTGTCCCTATTGAGGTGATTTCCCTTTAATTCCTGACTTTGTTACAACCTGTGTGTTAATATTCTGCGCAGTGAGCACACGGACAGCAGTAAAAGCAAGACAGATTCTAATCCTTTCCCCACACCATCTAAAAACTAAGGAAAGCATTAGCAAGAATTGATTTTTGGCTTGATTTGCTGCGACCAGGCTGATGCTAACAGCCACAGCCACTATGAAGAAGTTAGGTGCTAAATACTGGTGGTCATTTGACAGTGATCACCTGACAAAGCTGTGTTCAAAACCGTGCATTGTCATAAGAAAAAAATCTCCCATCCTCTGCTGCTGGCTAAGAGCTGAGAGGGAGAAATCCATACATTCACTGCAGCTGTAGAAGAGAACAAAAATTTATGGCATTTTAACCAAAATGACTCTTAGTTCTAAAGGCTCAAATTACCTGGTCACAAAGGGGTGATTTTATTTTCTTTTTTTTTTTTTTTTAATTTTTTTTAAATTTGACTAGTTGCACTTTTTTTAACCTGGGCATTGCATATTGTGCACCTGGGAAATCTTTTTGCAATATTCAGCAGGCATATCTGTAGAAACAAATTAAGGATCCAGCCTGGTAATTCTGTACAAGTCATCAGATCCTTGCCGTAAAGGTGTCTTAACAACAAGAAAAATAAAAACAGGCACAAAGGCCGCCATAAGGGATGAGATCAGGAGTGTTCAGACCAAACCCGCCTGATCTGTATTGTTGGGAAGCTATCAAAGCTGACAGCCAATCATAGGTGGTGGAGACATTTCCCCATCCTGCAGCTGCACTTAGGCAACGGGCATGTATACATGTAGGGCGGGGAATACCTCTGCTGCTTATGAATAATTATTATTATACAGGATTTATATAGCGCCAACGGTTTGCTCAGCGCTTTACATTATAGTGGGAGACAATACAGTAACAATACAGTTCAATACAAGAGGGAGTTGAGGGCCCTGCTCCTTGGAGCTTACAATCTAGGATAGCTGTAAGCTTTGACAGCTTCCCGATAGGATAGCTCAGGCGGGTTCTTGTCCAAACCATCCTGAACTCATAACTGGCCGCCATCTCACCTGGCACTTTTTTTTTAAACTTTTGTATCTAGGTGTGAAGCCGTCTTAAGTATTTGAGTGTTCAAAGTTTAGCACTGCGATTGCACTTTTTAATTATGTTGTTTCAGAAAGGTCCTTAGCTGTGGTTTTTGGTAATAGTGTTACAAGTTTAAAAGCACTTCATTGAAAAAATAGGTACTTGCCAAAATCGCAGACAATTTTTATTTTTTTAGTAATGGAGATGGATTTGGTGTGACAGTGGCTAATCATGTCTCAAAGTGTTTTTTTTTCACACCAAAATTACCTAATTAAATTATTTTGGCAGAGTTGGTATTGTACAGTGGTCTCTTTCGTGGTCTGTATGATCTTGAGCTTGTAAAAATGGTTTATAGGTGACCTTTCCTAGTCTTTTTTAATAAGCTGAAATCGACAGCACTTACTTGAATATTTCCTATAGTCGCAAAGGTTGTGTAAAGGTGTTCAAAACATGTTTATAATTCTTGAGCATAATCTTAGGAGAAGCTATATTCCAGTGAAGTGAAGCTACTTTGGCAATCTCCTCCCGTTTTTTTCTGTTGCTACCATCCATCTAGATTATTTGAACTTTAATGGAGAGTCCTATACTCAGGAAGCAACAGAATGGCAGGCTATTGCCAAAAGAATTGCCTGGCATGGGATCTCTTGTTGGCGCTCTAAAGATCGCTGCATTTTTTTCACACATGCTTTCATCCTCCACCCAAAGGGGAAGCAGTTTGGAATGGGGTCTTACTTAAATTGTATTTCCACTTTTGCAGCTAATTTGGGATAACACCTACTTTGTTTTATTTATATGTGTTGCATGTCCCCGCATTAACTAGTGTAATTTAAAAAAAAATAAAAATCGCAGCTGACCTTTTTTAGATACTCCATTTTGGACCATCCAGCAAGAAAAAATCCTGAGTAGTTCTTTGTTTGTGGGGGCTGGGCAGCTGTATTTGCCATAATTTACCCTGTCTGTACTGTGCAAGCAGATCTTCTTAATTCTAAATTGTAACTAGATTTGTACACTGTCTATCCTAACAAAGGTTTGAAGATGTAGAGGCTTGGCTTTTTACATTGTATGGTAAAGCGGAGCTTCACTCTCTCCGTTAACATTGACTATTTTTAATCCTTATGATACTGTACTTTCCAATCTATTTGCTAAGTGCTGGAAGCATATTTACTGGTTTTAAACTTTTTGCACTTCAGTTAGGTTCACAATAGTGTGACTTGTCATGTGACTTTGGACACATAAAGTAAAATGACAAGTCACAACCCATTTATTTCAATGGCACCCACTCCAATCTATGCACCTTTAGTGACAGCGTCTTTTAAAAAAGGTTCCTTCACTACTTT